TAACATTGTTATCCCCAAGCCGACAATTTTCTAATAATAAAAATAACAGTTATGATTTTAAATTGTTAATAACTATTCAAATACTGGTCCAAAAGTAGTTATCGAATAGTCATTTTCTTAATTAGATCATTTTTTATTTTATATTTTTAAAAAAGTTTAAGTTAGCACCCTTTGATATCAAATAAATAGATACATATGTAACTAACAGAAGCAAAGAAAAATATCGTATTAAGAAAAATTGAGCGGGTAGCGTTAAAACAATCGCCTTTTTGTAATTAGGTATGCTGCGCGTATAGACTTTATACATATATACATTACTTGTTCACTCATTTGAAATGTGAACTAGCCCACACATGAAGAAATAGGGCAGCCTTGTAGATCAACGAGTGACAATTATTATAAAATATATCTGATTGTAGTTCCTAAGAGTAAATCTTCTCATCTGAACCTCAATAATACCTAAATTTTAATACAAAGTGGAAGAGTAAGAAAATTTGTTCACGTACGAATTACGTACTCGTAAATCACTTCTCAGGATAAAATCCCATCGCTAGTAGTAATAATTGTAGTTGATTTCAAATAATTTTTTTATGCTACTTAATACATACAAATTCCATTATTAATGTTTTTTTGTAAAACATTTAATAACATTTTTCTTTGATATTTTAACTCAATGAAATTGATAATTTGTTTATGATTTAATTATATCTTGTTATATATCTTACATATATTTATTATTTATTTTTATATATTTTACAAATTTAGTTATTATTTTGTATCGAGCTATTATAGCTCAGTTACATTAAGCTTGTATTTTTATAATTATTGTAATTTTCGAGTCTATTGCAATTTGGGCAATTACATTTAAACACATAGAAATCTGCTGTGGCCAAATTCATTATTCTCTGAAAGCTTATTATCTTATAACTAGATTTGTCTAAATTTGTATACCCACTCGAATCCAGCTTAGAGGAATTTTTTTTAAGTCCAGTCCGACCGTGATCAATATTAAAAAATTTTATATCCGTCCAAGTCTGATATAACTGATTTATTACAGGCCAGGGCTACGAAGAGCTCTTTAACATACATTTTGCAAGAAAAAATCTTCAATTATTATTATTTCATAATTTATTTTGTTTCTGAATTCATAATTAATATTTTTTAGTTACTTTTTACATTATTTGGTTAATAAATTTTGTTTTTATATTAGAAAAAAACTGTGCACAATTATTTCGCATTATTTTACTGACATATTTAATATAATTAATGAGAAATATGAGTGAATATTATCATGCGTTTTTTTAAATTTTTAGCAACTTTTTTTGTACCTAAATAATTTTACTACTTTTGTACCTTATGTCGATATTTCTCAGCAAATAGTCTAGTTCTATACGTTTAATTTCTAGAAACGGTATACTCAAATGTAGCAAACAAAATAAATTGATGAGTAAATATTCTAGCATGTGTTTATAGACCATAAAATGAAATCAATATACCACTGTATTTCTGAAACGTGCCATGATTGTCATAAAGCTGCTTATGCTTTTCATTACTGAATTTACGAGTCGTTAGATTGGAAACCCAACATTATGACTTCCAAATGTTCACGTGTGTTATTAAGGCGTATAAATTATTATCGTTGTTATTATTGCTGAATATTTTGGGTGTCCAAACATTAAAATGCGGTGGCAATAATCATCTATGATAATAAAAATGCCCTATTAGTCTGCGGCTTATCTCTGATCCCTCTAAATGATCAGTACTACCATCTGGGGGGTCTTGACTTTTCATTAGCCCTTTGTCTATAAACGTGCGTCTATTCCAATCTCATATATTGATCCATTCGATTTTTATGGTAAAATAATATTGAAATAGCCGAATTTATTTCATTTAATAATAGTTTATTCAGATAAATATTATATTAGAATCGCATTACTTGCAGGATTAGTCAGATGATTAAGGACATAGAGAANTTAGAATCGCATTACTTGCAGGATTAGTCAGATGATTAAGGACATAGAGAATTTCGAAGGAAAATCACACATTTATAAAGTAATAAAAAATGATTGGTTGATTTATTTATATTTAAACTAATTATTAATCATTTTAGAACTTGGGAACTATTACTTTAAATGTACCCGATGGTATTGAGAAAATATCTTTAGATAACTTTGTAAGCCAAATTTTATGGGACAAATCGCTGACAGACAATAAAGGCAACATTTCAGAAATCATCCGAATAAAAGTAAGGCTAAATAAATAAAATTCTTTATTTGAGTTAAGAACGTGTAGTCTATTTGTCCATCTGTTAGTATAAGTATACTATCCATTTTTTCATCCGTATTGTACTAATTGTAATAATAATGATTACTTTTAAACAAATACTGCTCTTGCTAGATGTTCAGCTATTTAGTTAATATTCCTTGTTTTAATTGTATAAACTAAGCGTATAAAAAACGATAATCGTTATCGAAACACATCACCTATCATTTTTTTTTTTTGTAAAGGGAACAGACTCGGCAGAACAATATTTTGTTTATCATAATCATTTCAGTTTATATCCTATTGTGTAATTCGTCAACAACACGCATTGAAATGACCGGCTGTTTCATAT